GAAAAGCTGTTTCAACTGTCTAAAGTTTAAAAGAAGTTTGGTTTCCTCATTAGTGTAGAATTTTTAGAACTACAGATTTCATGCCTCCTCTTTATTAAACTGTGGTGAGCACAGATCATGCACCTAATCGTAGAAATGGGTACATGTCTAGTCCAGAGATTTTTATATCTAGCCAAGCATTTATTGATGTGTTAAACTGATATTTATCTAATGATGATGTGTTCAATTGATATTTATCTATTACTGACCAGCTAAGAACTTCCCATAGATGAGAAACGAACATGGGAGAAACACATAAAAAAACATACACCATGATAAGTGCTATGAGCATGTAAGGCATGAGGATCAGAGAAGAGAATTATCTGGGGATAACTTCCAAGAGGTAGTAACATCTAATGGCAATCTCAACAAAGGAATGAGCCGGGAAAAGAAGGAGAGGGAAGTTCGGGTGAAGGGAACAAGTGTGCAAGGTCACGGCCGTATAAGAGAGCATGGCACACTTGAAAACTACAAATAGTAGGAAATGATTGGAAATGAGGCGTGGGGTGGCCTTGTGGGACAGGTAAACAAAAGAGAAGGTAAACAGGTAGATGTGGATTAGCTAAGAAGGGTCTTCTGTGCCAAAATTTTTTTAAAAGACCTTCTGAAAGCAGGAAAATGATAAAATATATCTAGGAGCATGATAGGTAACATATTCAGAGGAAACGGGAGCAGAACCAGTTTATTTTGTCCTTAACTACTGAGGTACTCTAGGCATTCTGGGTAATGGAATTTCAAGATGGTAACAGATATCCCCTGCCTGCTGAGGAAGGCTCTGGGATCCCATATAGGAAAGGCATGGATCATGTGCCAAAATGGCTGTAGGAGCAGGTGGGAATGGCAGAAAGAATTTTGTCCCACTGGAACAAACGAGACAGCTAAGCAATAAGAAAATAGTGGGAGTGAAAAGGGGGCTGTCCCCTTGAGATGCCTTCTAGATTGATTGAGAGCCCTAAATTAAAAGAGAACAATGGCAGCATTACCATTTTACGACAATTTTCACACGCCCCTGTCTGGGTCAATGGAGCAAAGATGGAAATGTGGTTATGGAAGTTGATCAGGTTAGAGTACCTTGGGGCTCTTTTCCTAGAGCCATGGCTTGGGACATGAATTATCTGGATAATTTCTTATGCCTATAAAGGCCAACTATATGGCAGTCCTAGGGAGAGGAGTTGGTGACCAGATATGGTGCTGGGACTGCCAGAAATTGATAAAAGCTCGTGTAATTTCTCAATGTAAGAGAATCATTAGATAAAAAATGGGATATTCCAAAAGATATCCAATTTAGTAGCGAGTTTAGGGAAGACTGGAAGAAAAGCCTAAGCCAGAACTACAAGATACCTTCTTTTTAAAATTTACATGGTTGGTTGGCATTGAAATATTAACAATTCAAGTTTAAGATGTGCTGGGATCTTGGCAGCCCAGGACAAGAAGATGCTATTGTCTAACAGAAAGCTGCTCAAAGGGTAAGATGGTAAGTGAGGAGAAGTGACCTGACTGCCATAGATAATGGTGGCCAGGTATTCCAAGGCTTGGTGTCTAAACTCTGTGCAAGCACAGACATGGTTTGGACAATTGTTGGTGGCAGGAGGTCTCTTCCAGTGAGTGAAGCATGACAGCGAGGGATCCCAGAGGTGGTCCAACTTGGAAGTCAGACAGATGCAGTCAGAATCTTGAGATCTGCCCTTATGTGGCATAACGTCTGCCTGTGGTTGGAGAGGCACTCTATGCTTCAGCTATGCAGACACCTTCAATTTCCTGAATTTGCCATGCTCTCTGACCTTTGGATCTTTATTCACGCTCTTCCCTCTTCCTGAAATCTCCAACAGCAGCCTAATCTTCCCTTGTTAAAGAACTTATCATGCCATTATAACCAACTGTTCATATATCTGTGTCCCCCACCAAATCATATGCTCCATGAGAATGGGGCTCTTCTGTCTCATTTGCCATTTTATCCCCAGTGTCTAGTACAATGTCTGACACATAGTTTCACATAAGTACTTGTTGAATGAATGGATGAACTAAAGAGAAAAAAGCTAGGATAGGATCAAGCCCATGAGCTGGAACCTTAGTTAACAACTAGGATTCAGTGTTCTGGTTCCAGAGAAGGACTAGCATCTTGCTTCGGGGGTAACCAAACAGCATTTGAGTAGATGGGGCCAACACTGAGGGAGTACTGTGATGATTCAAGTACTTCCCAAGGTCCCAGGGAAGGTTAAACATAAAAGGAGACTTATGAGTCAGACTGGAATTTAGCCGTAATGACTAGGATTCCTGAAGTTGGAAGAAATTAGACTTAATTGTTTGCTCCAGCTAATGGATGTCCTACCCCTGCAAAGGTGACCCATATTACGGTCTGCAAATAGGTCCTATCCTTCCCAGAAGGAGAGAAAGCCAGGAGAAAGGTGAGGATTGACAAACAAAGAGAAATTACATAGAGAATTACAACTGTTACATTCATCTAATTAGGCTGATATTTTAGAAAGCTAAAGAATATGAGGATCGACGCTTATAATCAAATGGTTTGGAGATCAATAATGAAGCATGATTTGTATGCAGTCCCCACCAGAAATTAAGATGATACTTTTGTCATCCTGGCTTCACCGCTTACATCTGGCTAGTGAGGTTTGTGATCCTCATTTCTCACATCTGCTAAATGGCATAATGTATGGAAAGTACCTAGTACAGGGCTTCATATACCACAGACTCCGTAAATGGTACTTATCTTAAATGTTGGCACCAGGACTCAGACTTAGGTGAAAGGAATATTGTTAATCCTTTTGTCCATTCCCCACTCCACCATCACACACACATCTTCTCAAACACATACACAAACACCGGTAGACTCTCTGAGGTTTTCTTTGACTAAGGGAAAGACCAGTAACCGTCTACCAAGCACCCTAGAGACATGTGCCTATGAGTAGGCATGCTGCACACTAAAATATTAACAATTGCCATCCATATATATCGTCAGACTCTGAAATTAGGAACAGAACATTGAGAAACATACATTGCTATTTCCCAACTTTTGCTAGAAACCTCTCAAAATAAGGACACTTTTCACTTTAACTATATCAGGGTTCTTAATCTTGGCTGCACATTAGAATCACCTGGAGTCCTTTTAAAAAAGAATAATGCTCAAGTTCACCCCCAGACCAATTAAATTACTAACTCCTGGGAATAGGACTCAGGCTGGGGTCATTGTCTAAAGGTCCCAGGTGGTTCTAATGTGTACTCCATGTGTAGACCATGGACCACAGCACTGGCATCACTTAGGAGCTGTTTAAAATGCAGGATCTCAGGCCCCAGTCCAGACTGAATCAGAGCCAGAGCTGAATCCGAATCTGCATTTATTTATTTTATTTTGTTTTGTTTTATTTTATTTATTTATTTTTGTGTGTGTGAGGACAATCAGCCCTGAGCTAACATCCATGCCAATCCTCCTCCTTTTGCTGAGAAAGACCGGCCCTGAGCTAACATCTATTGCCAATCCTCCTCCTTTTTTTTTCCCTTTTTCTCCCCAAAGCCCCGGTAGATAGTTGTATGTTATAGTTGCACATCCTGCTGGTTGCTGTATGTGGGACGCCGCCTCAGCATGGCCGGACAAGCGGTGCGTCAGTGCACGCCCGGGATCCGAACCTAGGCCTCCAGTAGCAGAGCGTGCGCACCTAACCGCTAAGCCACAGGGCTGGCCCCCGGAATCTGCATTTATTTTCTGATTTTTTTGTGTGTGTGTGAGGAAGATCGGCCCTGAGCTAACATCTGCCAATCCTCCTCTTTTTTTGCTGAGGAAGACTGGCCCTGGGCTAACATCCATGCCCATCTTCCTCTACTTTATATGGGACGCCACTACAGCATGGCTTGACAAGCGGTGCGTCGGTGGGCGCCTGGGATCCGAACCAGCGAACCCCGGGCTGCCGCAGCAGAGCACACGCACTTAACTGCTTGCACCACCAGGCTGGCCCCAGGAATCTGCATTTAAAAGGGACCTCCTAGTGATTCATAATCACATCAAAGTTTGAGAAGTACTGGTATCAGTGATTCTCTGCTCTGGCTACACAATATAATCATCCAGAGGACTTTTGAAAAATGCAGATGCTTGGGCTCTACCACTTGAGATTTGTTTTTAATTGGTCTGAGGAGGACCCAGCATCAATATTTGAAAAATCACCCCTGAGTGCACAAACTGTGCAGCCAGGGTTGAGAACCACAATGCTAGGTAGGTAATGCCTCAGTGACAGGCCGAATTCTCAGCAAGATATGCCTTCATGATGGGTGCTATGAAAGATGAGGTGCAAGAACGTTCCCCTTCTCCATGATTACCTTAGAATTCGCACAAAGAACAAATCTGATCTAACTAGTATGGGGTGTTCTAGCAAAGTGTTTTAGAAATGTCTATTTCATAGTCTCTTTTATAAACATATATGTAAATTTGTATTTTTTATTTTCCTCTTTGTTATAACTGTAATTTATTAATGACTAGCTCTAGCTCTATTTGCATAATGATAATAACGAACTGGAATATGCTACTCTTAGGGATATGACTCATGTTCTAGTTTTACTCAGTGGTAAACAACTTTAAATATTTATATTAAAACAAACATGGAGATATTATAGGGTAGAATATACATTTCTTGTGAATTTTAAAATAAAACACAAAACTTCAAAGAAATTTTGTGATTTTAGCAGAAACTTCAGACTATGCCCCAGACCTCCTAGCAGAATGGATTTATTCTCCCTCTGCCCTTGAGATTAGTTCAGAGGGAAAGTTTGAAGAGCACTGAACCAATGGAATTATTTGAAATGTGACACTCTTAATTGACTTGGTTTCAAATCCTTAGCAGTTGGAGTATCTGGGCTTATCTCAAATGCTAGAAATACTGTAGCATTTGTCACTTCAATCCCAGCCAAGGGTCAAATGCAGTATCACAAATAGAAGCTAAAATAAATTCTCAAAGTCGTTTTTGTGGTTGACTTAACTTTATTCACATGATAGTTATAGGGGCTGACAAAGACTTCCTCTAACATTTCTTTCTTCTGGCAGGTTGATTTAGAGTTTTGTTGCAGACAGTGTGGGTTGAAAGGATGTGTGGTAAGACAGATCAGAGGCTTGTTACAATTCTACATCATCATGAATCCAGTTTAATTTTAACCTTGTGGTTTGTCTAACACATTTGCAGTAAGAGTTGGGGGAATAAATCTAACGCTCACAGGCAAACACTTGGCAGCCCTTGAGAGCAGCATCTTTAGAGAACACACAATCGATCCTAGCACTGGAGGCACCTCGGATATTGTGAGTGCAGGTCAGAAGTGCCTTGGGGTGCCAAGAAAGGCATCCCATGACAGCAGTGAGATCTCAGGGCACACAGCAGGCAGCTCTGGAGTGTTGCAGTCAATCCCAGAAGCGTGGCATGGCCTCTCAGTACTGATAAGACCTCACAAGGAGCCACATAAGGATAACTGTGATCAGGACAACGGTGAAGTTGAGGAACAGCTCCCGGGTGGTCCACTCCATTCTGAGTGGCTCGGTGAGAACTGAAGGCGGACTTCTGAGGGCACACCAAAGACCTCCTCTGGTCCTCACCTCCTAGTAGAAAACAGCAAAGAAAACACAGGGAGATTAGTGAGCCTTCTTTTGAAATAGAAGCATTGTGGAAGAGGAGAGTGTTATGGAATGAACTGTGTCCCCCCCCAAAATTTATATGTTGAAATCCTAACCCCCAGTATCTCAGAGTGTGACTGTATTTGGAGATAGGTTCTTTCAAGAGGTAATTCAGTTGAAACAAGGTCATTAAGATGGGCCCCAATCCAATATGACTGGTGCCCTTATAAGAGGAGGTTAGGACATAGACATGTATGGAAGGAAGATCATGTGAAGACACAGGGAGAAGATGGTTATCTGCAAGCCAAGGAGAGAGGCCTTAGAAGAAATCAACTCTGCTAACACCTTGATCTCAGATTTCTAGCCTACAAACTATCTTTGGACTAGGGCTGCAACTCTTCCCTGGGTCTCCAGCCTGCTGTCCTACTCTGCAGATTTTGGACGTGCCAGCCTCCACAATCACATGAGCCAATTCTGTCTGTCTGTCTGTCTATCTATCTACCTATCTATATAACACACACACACACACACACACACACACACGTATATGCTATTGGTTCTGCTTCTCTGAAGAACCCTGACTAATATAGAGAGCCTGGCTTTTCTGCCTAATGTCAAAAAGACCAACATAGTCCTGATTTTTTTCCTTTAATGATTGTATTGAAGCTTTTGATAAAATACAAGATGTTACATTTTTCTCTCTCCAATTTCTGTGTGTGTGTGTGCGCACGCGCGTGCGCGCGGTAACCAGCAAACAAGGTCACCAAAACAGAAAAAATGTTATGGTTTAGTACTGTTCTTGCTTTGAGTTGCACATAGAGGTAGGATATCATAATTCTTCAGGTTTCAGGCTGCTAAAGCACTTCATCCAACCCTGGTGAAAGCATGAAGTAGTTCCAACAGCTGCTTGGCCTTTTTTATAATCCCTCCATTGGGCACAGAGCCTACTGGGGTCACCCAGAAGTCCCTCACATAACAGGCACTTGGTCCAAAGAGCAAGAGTCAACCTCATGGGTACTTCTATTTCAACAAAGGCCTGTGCCAGCTATTTTCAGTCAAGTCCAGGATGTGCCTAGATTGTGAACACTTCAGAAAGCAGGGATGGTATCTTTATAGTTTGTACTGATAGTACACACAGGAAATCATACTTTGAGAACATATGCAATACAGTTAATCAAATTATTATCCTCAGTGATGTGGCATAATTTGCACTTTGAGTATACAAACCAAATGAGATTAAAGATAAAATTTTAGATATTTAGGACAAAAGTCTACTATGGAGTGAAAAAGTTTAGGGGGAAAGAGTGTTTTGTTTATTTACTAAGAGTGGAAGTTCAGGGAAAGGAAGAGTTGTTAGCAAGCTTTTGGCCTGAATGGTATTTTTAACCATCTAACCTGACAGAATTATTAATTTTAATTACTGTATTTGTTGTATTATTAGTGGGCCAAATTATTAATTGTATAAACCAGCTGAATAATCATTTTTCATATTATGTAATTGTTAGAATAACATACAAATTAGATGGTGTCAACCAGTAGGTTGTTGAATCTTGGTTTAAAATATGGCTGATGATGACTGACTGATGTTTCATTTTCCTTTTAATTCTTATCCATCTTTTGCCACTCTGCACAAAGGATATAGTAAATTGCCAACGAAAATCTTTACAAAGATTTGCCTGAAGGAAAAAGTAAACAGAAGAAAATGAATGGGTAAAGGAAGTAGAGAGAATGTATAAGAATGTGCATAGAGCAGAGGGGAACAGGAGGGTGATGATCCAGGCAAGGCTCCTGGAGGCAAAGGAATGAGAATCAAAGGCAGACTCCTGCTTATGAATTTATTAATAAAATCAAATCCTGGTCCAAAGGCCCACTTATTTGGGTAAGTTCTGAAGAAATACAGAGATATGCCAAAAATATGAGACCCTGTTTATAATGATCAAAACAACCCAATTCAGGGAAGGCAAAAAAACTATCCCACTAAATCTGCTTATTAGATTAAGCTCTTAAATAAACAGTATCACGGCTAGTGGCCCAACAGGAACATACTTGGAAAATGTTATTGAAAGCTGTGCACAGCTCTGTTTATGTGACCTTCGCAAAAACCCTGTGACCTTCACAACTCACGCAAGTATTATTGCAATTTTTATGTCTCCCGAGATTATAGGGGAGAAACTGACTTTTAGAGAGAGGTTAAGTTGTTTGTGTAATGCCACATAGCAAGTTAGAGGCAGAACTAGAACTGGCAGACTGGAACTAGATGCTAGAATTGTGGTTACTCCATAGGCGTGATTACAAGAATGAGCTATTACTGGAATTAACTGCCATGGCTAAACGAAGTCAGTGTAAATTTTCAAGCACTTTGGAAAAACAATTTGACATTTTTTATTAAGGATGATAATGCTCATTTCCTATTATCCAGCTATTTCGCTTCTACTCTAGATACTAAAGCACATATGCACCAGGATATATATGCAAGAATGTTCACAGCAACATTTTCATAATATCCCCAAGGTGGAAACAACCCAAGTGTTCATCAACAATAGAATGGATGATGAGTCGTGGTATATTCATACTTTTGAATGCTACAGAGCAAAGAAAATATATGAACTAGAGCAACATACAAGACGGATGGATCTCACAAACATTCTTGTCAGGCAAAATAAGAATTTGCAAAAGAAACATAGAAAATGATCCCATTTATACAAAGCCAAAAACAGGGAACTTCATCATACTGTTTCGGAATGCAGACATATATGGTAAAATTATAAGGAAAAGCAAGGACAAGATTCTCAACAATCAAGATGGTGATGACCTATGGTGGGGCAGAAGGGAAAGGTGATCAGGAATGGAATTCTGAGGTGCTGGAATGATCTGTTTCTTGACCTGGGTCATAGTTACACAGATGTTGCCTTATAATTGTTGTTCAAACTGTATGTTTTATGCACTCCACATTTTTTTCAGTAGTCTGTGAATTGACAGGCTACCCATCACACTTCTTTATTTCCTACTGTTTACCTCTTACTATTTCTTGCACTTTGATGGTGAACTTAAATATTCGTTGGTTTATATTTTTTTAAATGAATAAAACACGAAGAGTTAAGGTGAGAATTTTTAATAAATGCAATTCAGTCAACACATATGCTAATTGTAAGGGATGGACTTTACTTTCACACACATTTATACCAAAATTAGGCAGACATTCAGATCAGCAAACATCTGTTTCCTACTGTTAACCCACAAAGACAATTTTGACTGCATTTTAAATCTTCCCTGGAGTCAGGATCACACCATATGATCCAAAGTGATTGCCATATGGATGAAATGAAAACCAAAACAGCTCTGAATAAATTGTTTGACATTGACTTTCTTTGAATAGAGACTTTGAGAAGATGGAAGACAGACTTTCCTCTATATGATATGAAAATTTTTTTTAAAAAGTAGGAAGGGAGGGGGCCGGCCCGGTGGCGCAAGGGGTTAAGTGCGCGTGCTCCACTGCAGTGGCCCGGGGTTCTCAGGTTCAGATCCCGGGCGCACACCAACGCACCTCTTGGCAAGCCATGCTGTGGCGGCATCCCATATAAAGTAGAGGAAGATGGGCACGGATGTTAGCCCAGGGCCAGTCTTCCTCAGCAAAAAAAGAAGAGGATTGGCATCAGATGTTAGCACAGGGCTGATCTTCCTCACAAAAAAAATATAAATAAATAAATAAATAAATAAAAAGTAGGAAGGGAGAAAATGCATACCTTGAGGTGAAAAAAAGGAAAATAAGAAGCAACAATATTCACTTCATCTCTTAAGAAATACTGTGTACAACAGGCATTGCCTATTTCATAAAGAAATGTAAACCTTCCTCTGCCTTTCTTGTTTGCAACTTGCACACACACACACGCACGCAGCCGTGCACACACACACACTGTAAGGTAAGCATAAAAATCCTGCCGTTACCTGAAGAGGGTCAAGGACACACCTGGTTGCAGCAGGCCTCTCCTCTCTCTCCAACTTGGGCTCCAACTCCTGCTCCTCTCCCGGGCTGTCTGGACTCCTGGGCTCTGGGCAGGGCCTGAAGTAGTCCAAGGGAGGTGGCAATCACTGTGATGTCACTGATGAAGCATCTCAAAGGAACAACCTCCAAAGGTTTGAGGCTATTTGTGTTTAGGGGAACATGGAAATATGTTGACTAAGACTCTGTTCCTTCGGCTGCCAATTTGTATTAACACCCCAGGGACTTAAAAATCTTCTCTTCCCAGTCGACTTTTGGTACAATTGATGTGGGTTTTAATTTATCTTTTACATCTTCATGAAGATCTCTAACATGTATTTAAAATATCGTAAACCAAGAGTGATAGACTAACGTTAACAGATTAATGCTGCATTTGGCTGTGAGGCCGCATTTACACCCTCAGCATGGGAGGGTGTAAAAATGTGACTGCATTTTGCCACCCATATCTTCAGCTATTTGAAATACGGAGAGTTCTCTGCCCTGCACACGCACAGTCCAAACCACACACACACACACACACACACCAGAATTCCACAGACGTCTTTAGCTCCTTCAAAACTGACTTGAGTCCAAGCAGTGAAAATTATCTCCTCGGTCACCTGCTCCACATAACTTTCCAGTGTATGTTGCAAGTTTACACATTAATATACAGTTTCATCTGAAACAGCTGCGGAAGCCACTGTTTATATATATATATCTGTCAGTAAGCTAATACAGCAGTAAACTCATGCAGCAAAACTCCGTCATTTGGATAGATGGAAGGTAGGAGAACTGGTCAAAACAAGTGAAACATGAGTTATAGAATATGTCTGAAAGAAATAGAATTGTAAAACTTTGAAATATAAATACTGAGTAAAACTGGACTGTTAAGATGAATTCGTAATCAACATTCCGGATGTCTGAAGGTAAATGGAGCCTCTGAAGTGTTGAATTGGACTTGAAAGCACATCAATTAAGCACTTTAAACATGACCCCAGCAATTGTATTTGATCAGCAAATCCTTTCATTATAGATAATAGAGCACATCTCCCCTCTGAATTCCCAGTTAGGGTCAATCAAAATAATGCATTCCCGGGGCCGGCCCAGTGGCGTAGCAGTTAAGTTCATGAGCTCCACTTTGGCAGCCCGGGGCTCACAGGTTCAGATCCTGGGTGCGGACAGATGCACCACTTGTCAAGCCATGCTATGGCGGCGTCCCATATAAAGTAGAGGAATATGGGCACGATGTTAGCTCAGGGCCAATCTTCCTTAGCAAAAAGAGGAGGATTGGCATCGGATGTTAGCTTAGGGCTAAATCTTCCTCACACGCACACACAAAATAATACATTCCCAGAAGGCATAAACAAACAAAATTCTCTATGTAATTGTGTTCATAATCAAACCTTTCCCCACAATTCCTCATCCCAGAGGCATTACTAAAAGACTTTCCATGCCATTTCTTCATTTCAACATAAGCCCAAGGATGGGTAAGCTTAATACAACATTCTGTCACTGCATGCCTTGTAAAAAGACAGCTTGCGAAGTGACAGATAATATATAATAATTATAGCACAATCGAACATTGGCGGTTATTTGTTGCCATCTGGCAAACTCCTTGAATGTAGTCAGAGTTCTTTTGCCTCTAAGTCCTTGCCAGATTGTTTCAAATGCTAGTCACCAAGCCACAAATGTCCCCTTGTTTAATCACTCAAAATTACTTTTTGTCCAATTAAAAAGTTATATATTTATCGTAAAAAAATTGAAAATATAAAAGTAAAAAGAAAATCTAAACTATCTTTAACTTCACCACCCAAAAGGAAAAAACAACTTTATATTACTTTTTATTCATGTTTGAAGTTGCATACACACAATCTCAAATTCCCAAGGCATTTTTGGTAAAGGAATCTGATACTCAAAACCTTTATCTTTTTTGATTCATATAGAATCAAATTATTCATACTATGCCATGTGTTGGAATTGAGTTTATGGGACAAGAATTTATTTTGTACATGTCAGAATAGGAATTAACTGTACCATATTTAAAATGTTAAATACAATGGGGAAATGTTAACATATCACAAAACAGCTAGCCAATACCGTCAATTTATTTGAATTGGTCAATTTCAATGTAAATTGGAGGAAAAAATCCTACTGTTTATTCATGAGTCGGTTCAATTTGTCTATTTGGTTGTCCCGTTTAAGTTCATCCAACATTATACCAGGGACTATTGTGCCCAGCACATTGACAGATTCCCAGATAGAAACTTCAGAAGCTTCTGCATATTAGTGGTTTATCCTGTGATGTCATGAGAGAGTGGGATTACACTGGGAATTTAGCTTGTCATTATTTTGACCTAATCCTCTCCAGAAAAATATGCAAGCTTCCCAAAGACACCTGACAACTATTCAAGGTCTAAGGGAGAGTTTAACCCTCAGGATCTGCCCATTCATTAAAAAAAAGTAATCAACATTATTATCTCTCATTTAAGAAGCTAAGAATAACAAAATTTCAAATCTCAGTGCCAAAGCAAATTCATCCCTTTCAATTAACCTTACTTAAGTCTGCTGTTTTCCTTTCTATGAGCAATTCCCCTGACTCAACAGCATTCATTGCATATCAACTTTCTTTCAAAGTGCTGTTCTGCCATCAACAGGAGAACATACTAGATAATCTTTGAAATTATTTCTATGCCTATTAATCTAGAATTTAGCCAATGGCCAAAAATTTCAAGAAAACAACATAGACATTGACAATAGCATTGAAGGTCTAATTGGCATTTCTCTCTCCCAGTCCCCACCACCACCATATAATTCTTAGGTGTAAAATATTACACCTTTTGAAAATCAATGCTGAGCTTTTGTGCCTGATTACAAGCTAAACTAACTTGTCTAATTTATTCCCCATTTCGATCCATTTTTTTACTCTGGGAAGTGAAAAGTGAAGACCTCATGTCGGTCCATGAACTCTACAGTCTATGACACAATGGGAGAACTCACCAAGGCCTAATGAAAGGCAATAAGCTCTTAGCACATCAGAGTAATGAGTATAATGATCATGGCGCCTTTCTCACTTTCACATCTTCACATCCAGCTGGTCATGGAGCTGCTCAGAAAGAAACAGCTTTCTGCTATTCATTTCATTCTCCCAAACACATGAGTACAAGCCCAGAGAAAGAGGAAATGCTATTTCTTGAAGCTCTCTCCATGTCCTTGAAAAGCTGATGATTATTTTCTGTATTCTTAACCACTTGTGGCATATGTATGATTTTTGTCTCACTAACTGGATTTTAATTTCAAAGGCAGGGATAGTCTCTTATATTTCTTTTGTTTCTTTAGCTGTGCATTGAACCAGCACAGAATCATAATAGATGCTCTAGAATGTATAGCAAAGGGCTCAGCTTGAGCCTCCATCACATCACATCTCCTCTGAGATCCAGACATGTCTAAGTGCGCCTGGCAAACAGGAGTGAGAGAAGTTGAGTTCAACATCAGATCTATTCATAAAAGGACGTAGAAGCCACCGGGAGAGAAAATTCCTCTGAAGGGAAGTGATCAAGAAGATACATGTTGTTTAGCAACAGGGAGAATAGATAGTCACTCCCTTGCACGTAACACAAATTCGCTGTATTAGTCTAGGTCCTGTGAGAAGCAGATGCCAAGATGGGACTAAATGTGCAAAAGAAAAACATACTGGGGGAAATGCCTGTGAGAGAAAATATGGAGGGAGTGGGGGAACTGAGAGAGTCATCAAACAGCAAGAGACAGAGACAGGGGAAAAAGGGAGGTTGGGTGGAAGCATCTTAGACTGCAATTCGGTTCTAAGGAAAGTTTGACAAGGCTATTAGGAAACCTCAAATCCAAGTCACCTGTCAGAGATGTCCCGTGTCTCCCAGGGATAAGTTGATCTTCATATTCCTTCCGTACTTGGTCTTGACCAGGAGCAGCCCATGGGAAGCGTGGCCTCTGTGCAAACACGATTATGATTTTAAGGCACAGCAGCTGAGTCCACCTCAGTTATGGTGCAGTTGCATCTGAGAGACACATTCTCATGGCTACAATACTCGCCTACTACCCATCCTACTCCCCTACAGCTTGATGTCTGGGTCCTAGGAGGAGAGACAGTGATGGATAAAAATTCCATGACTCTTTAACAATTAACCTCAACAGTGTGTAACACAGAGAGGGAGAGAGAGAGAGATTCTCCCTCTACCTGTGCCATCTCATGGACCTCAGTGCATCTATGGAGGCAGCAATGTACTGTCCTTCCACTGAAGTGTCACAGAGCCTGGCAGAAGCAGCAATACTGATCAAGACTTACTTGCAGTTTATGTTAAGCTGTGCAGGCCTTAGTAGCAGATAGAAGCAGAGAGGAGCTTGAACTGAAAGGCGAGAAAATGGCAGGCACTATGTGGTCGTTGACAGTACTTGTGCATGGGCACATGTCAACCACCCCCTGAAGTTGCTAGCAACAATCAAGAGGAACATTACAGGGGCATGCAGTCTTGCATAATAGGTGGGAGCAAGAGCCAGAAAAATATGTATTATTCTTGTTTATAACAACTCATTTTAAGTTCTGGATTGGTGAGGTGACACCTGTTAACATCATTTGACTTGGAACCAATTAAATTCCTCTTCTCTGGAACAAGTGTAGTTCTGCTCTATAATAAGATTCTGCAAGCAAACAGCTTTCTCTCAGCACATTAAACATAGCTACTGGGGCTAAAAAAAAGCAGCAGCTAAAAATGTGTTTACTACTAGGCTAATACCATCTGCCCTCAGATTTCAGGTTGGCTTTGTTATTTTTCTGATGGGAAATAAGAATTCAGCAGTCTTTTGATGTGCTGTTAACTGAACCATTCAAGGAGATTCTAGCCAGACACGCCCACTTGAAACATTCTGTTCCTTTGTGAATTTGATCAAGGGTATTTTCACTGAATCGCTTTTGAGAATCTGTCAGTCAGAATAACACAACTTGCAGTTTCAGCAAGAATAATAAGGAGCAGACAAAATTGCTTGTTCTCTGTGAATGAGTTCATTTGGTTTTAGCCTTTGGCTATTAAAGCAAAGAGAATAGAGTCATGGAGCATCAAGAAAATCTCTCTCTGCTCTCTGTGAAAGTAATCAGAAAACTGAAGT